TGTGTGGAGGTAGTGGGCACAGAAGCGACAACCTCTATTTTTTTTCCTCCTGTCTCATGAATTTGCATATTTTAAATGCAATACGAAGAGGTGCATTATAACAGATGAAAATGTAAGACATGTTGTACGAAGTGTGATCCAAATCCTTTTTCAGTCCAGCTGCCTCCAGTCTTACCTGCTGGAGTAAGCAGGTAAGCTGGATAGCCTGGCTTTGTCCTGCCAGGCTATCCAGCCAGGAGGAAGAAACTGAAGCATTAGGTTGAGAATCTGGGCAGGCTGCTCCCAATGTTCTCTTCTGCCGAGCCAGTGCCCTGAGAGTGAGAGACTTAAGCACCTTCCCTGAGACCTCATTAAAAGGCATGCCTCTCTGCTCTTAGGTTTCGCATCTCCCTTTGGCTTTCACTGCATACAAGGAGCCGCAGCACTGAAAAGATTTTTTTATACTGTGTTATAGAGGAAATGTAACTTTTATACGGGGATGAAGAATCCCGTGCGATAAATCTCTTTAGCTGAGAAGAGACAATGGCACTTTTTCTACTCGGAATGGTTCTAATTTCATTGTGAGTGTTTTGGCTGGTTAATCGCGTTATAAAGAAACAAAAAATAATAAAGCCATGCCTTAACCAGATTTTTGAGGTATCTGAGAAGTTGCATGCTAAGGTTTTAAAGGAAAACTACTATAGAAAACCTTGAAGGCCACATACGTACGCACAAGTAGAGGAGTCAAATAGCAACTTGTGCTTTTTGGCAGCAGCCACTTATGCAGAATGCCTGAGCCCTGGTGCGTAGGGCATGATGTGACGTGGCAGATGTGTAGCAGGGGTTCTTCCAGATTTTCTCCTGGCTTAGACTGAAATAAGCATGAAAATCTTTCTTGACCAACAAAAGGTTGGACTAGAAGTCCAGCTGAATTTTTAGGAGTCAAAAGATATGTCTGACATGACCTAAGAACATCTTGGTTGCAGAAGACATTTGAAAGACTGTTCTGGACTAGCTTTTAAAATCATTTTGGGAGATCTTTGGAAATTTGGCCCCGTAGGGTAATCTTTCCTTTCTGTTTAGATAAGGACATAATCCTCAGAGGCTGATTGTTTTCAGATCCAAGGATACAGCTCAGAACCCATTTTGTATTTTACCGACGTGAAAGTGCAGCAGCTTTGCGGGTTCTTTGCATCCAGGACCAGCTGAACTATCCTTACAGAGAAATCAGCCAGGACCCCGCTAGCTAAACAGCAGTGGAAGAAAGTTGCACATGTGGAACTTGACTGAATTTCCATTGAAGTCAATGCATTTTTTCATTCCAAGAAGACTAGGAGCTGCTTTAGTTTTCCTTCCAACATTAGAAATGAGTGTCTCATAGATTTTTTTTTTTTAACTCTGTGAAGCATTGTTAGAGATTTTTTTCCATTTAGTATAATCTCTACTTCCACTTGCTGAATCTTTTGGTTTGCTTGTTCAAAATCGTTACTAGCATTGTTAAAAAAAATATACATGCTACATTGGGTAGAGCGGTGGTTGTTTTTTAAACAGCTATTTAATTGCCTGACGTAATTGCAAGAATACCTTTCTTTATCACTAAAGGCATCAGACAGAAAATTATTTACACAACTTGAGCTAGAACTAAAGAGAATGTTTTTGTGGTTTCAGAGCTGGTTTTATGATAGTATAAATTCATGGCTCTCCTACAAAAAAAATCTGAACCCATATTGTTTAATTGAACGTTGCCTGTAATTTTTGTGTGGCAAAGAACCAAAACATCCCTAGGAAGCTGTATGTTTGTTTGTCTTTTTATTAACAAGCTGTTGGCTAAATAAATTTCCATTGCTGAATGACTGAGACAGTCAAATATTTACGATGCAGACACAGGGCAGTTCCTTTTAAAGGCTGTGTAAGAAACATCTGGCCAAATGACTGAACGACTTTTGTAACAGGGAATTTCTGGCATTAATGGTCGAGGATTCTGACTAATTGCAGGCACTAACTCTTAACAAGTGCCACATGTGCACCTGTTTACCTCGCCAACCCCTCCGTGTTGCAGAGATGACGTTCTGATGGGCAGTTGTTTTGTGCTGTAGCTTGAAGGTCATTTTTCCTGCAGCTCCATTTGATTTCACACATCTGGGCACATCATGCACACAACAGGATGTCGGCGCTGTTATTCAGCTGTAATCCAGCCCTCCATATGCACTAAATCAGTTCCTTAGGCTGTACTTAAAAATTCTTCTTGTACTTATTGCTCCGTATTAGGCAACGTGGTCAACTTTTGTCAGTATTTGTCAGTTCTTCAGAATGTCAGCGATTCTGTTCTGGGATGCCTTCCGTGCCCTCCAGCACATAACATGACAGCTTGAACAAAGGCACTGATGATTTAAGGTCTGGATCACTACTTTTCTCGGTTCAGATGGATTTAATGCCGTTGCAGCGAAGCAAGCTCGGGGGAGGAGGTGATCTGTAAATCACAGTCTATGTCTGGCAACGAAGTTTGCAGAGAATAAGCTTCAAATAACCCTTCCAAGCCCATTCAGCACAGATCGTGCCCCTCTGACCTGCGCTGGTTGTTCAGGTACCAGTGCTACGCTGTGCCTTTGCCTTCAAGGTGCTAAAGAGGCTTACAGAGGGAAAATCCCTTGGCTGTGCAGTCCTTGTGGACTAGTTTAGGTCGGAGCCTTCCTAGGTGTTTGGAAGACCTCCGCAAGCACGCAGGTTCATTGCAGGGAGAACCTGCCTGTGTGGTGAGCATCATCCTACACTTCCAAGGCAGATTCCCATGCACTCACACAGGTCTCCTGGCTGTAGGGCTCTTCAGAGATGGAGCAGCAGAATATAGGGTTGTGAAGAGATCAGTGCTTGAGTCTTCAGGACAGAGGTAGAGTAGGGCAGGACCTCTTACCAACAGCTTTCTTCAGGTGCGAAGGAGCAGCAAGGAGGTCCTGTGTAAAATGTTTGGCTTTGGTATTATAGCGCAGATACGCAAAAAACAAAACATCTAGAAAGGACAGCCTACGGGCAAGGTGCTTGCTGGTAAGGAAGCTAATAAATGGCATGTACGGTGAGCTAAAAGTAGTTGGTCCCTAACCTCAGTTTAAGATTACGGTAAATGAGTTGTTGAACTAAAAATCCATAAGGTGAAACTTTCACTTATATAATTCTGACTGTTTAAATCTGTAGAAACTTCCTCTGTCGTGAAATGTGGTATGGGATAGTCCGGGGTACGACTTTCAGAATTCACAGCACCTTTGCGCACATTAGGAATGTAGAGCTTACTGTGCTTTGTAATACAAAATACTTAGTCACACAAAATAATGGTTTGTTTCTGAAGCCCAGACAGAATAAATCAAGATTCTTAGCACCTGTTTAAATGTGATAAATTACAAAAAGCAAGCTCAGGTCCTAATTTTGAAAAGCCAATGTGTTGCTGGGATATTTTCAGCTTGTTGCTGTCCAGCTGCTCTGGAAAAGCAGCAGCTGTAGTGCTTCATTGCCTGCTTCCCTCCTGGAAGGTGCTTTATGATTTAAATGACTTCTTTGGGTGGAGAAAAGCAGATCTCTCTAATTCAGCAACAGCCATTTACATTGACTTGACACCAAGAAATAAAACCAATTGAAAAGGATCACTGCAAGGATAGAGAAGAATAGGCCTAACTAATAAAAAGCTTCTGAAAGCAAACTAAATAAAAGACATACTACTGGAGTTTAACTCTCTGCCTGAGAACATAAAAAGCATACATGCGGTTTTATGGTTTTAAAAGTAAAGTGTTGTTTGATGGTATTTTTTTGGGGGTGTTTGTGGGATTTTTTTAAGGCAGGCTTTTATAATATGCGTTGCTTATAGATCTAGAATAATCTCTTAAATCAGAGAGCAGCATCCATGTGCTATGTGGGCAATTTAAGCAAAGAGCTGACTGTCACCACATGAAATGCTTTTGCCTTTTTTGGCTCAAGAAGGAATGCTTCCAAACTCGGTGCAAAGCCAAGAGGAGGACCAGACTAGACCGTACAGCTTTACATTTGTGACTCTTCATGCCATGTGCTTTTAACAGAGTGTGGTATGGCAAGTGGATAGCCCTTCCTCCCCCTGCCCCTTCTCAAATCAGATTATCTAACAGTTAATCTGTTTTGTTGATGTGCTGAGTGACAGCAGCTCATTCAGGAACAGACTCAGGGTGGGAGGGGGGAGCACTTGTGAGAGCAAGCTGTTTCAACCAAACATTTTCCATTTAGTGATTCGTAGGATTAAATTTCAGGCTGTTGCCTATGGAACTTGGCATTAGCAGCCGACACGTTTATCACGTTAGCTTTTCTCTTCGACTTCCCATGTAGAACAAAAATAGAGCTGTAGTTTATCACCGTCAGTCTCCCTTGGACTAGCTGTGTTACCCTTTCTCATCATCTTTGAGTACTGACCAAAACCGAGGTGGTTAAATTCACAATCCCCTCACCTTTTTTCTTTCTGTCGAAGTGTATTTCTCTTCAGTGTATACAGAATAGTTCTGGAATGAGCTGGAATTCATCTGTGCTACTCTTAGCCTCCTTCCTTTCTAGACAGTTAGTTATAATTTCTCAGCATATGTGTGCATGTAACCATCCGTATTCAAGCTATGTAGCAAGCCTGTTTCTTCCTCACCCAGAGGAAAGACGAGAATATATGTCTTGTTTTGTCAACGCTTATTGCACCATCTTTTTCTTGTTTCAGTTACATCCATTAGTCTGTAAATCTTCATGTGGCTCCTGAGTACCAGTTTATACAGTGCTTGGTAGTTTGTATAATGTCTCAGTGGTGGAGCCTTTTGTAGACATCTTTCTTTTCATGGCATAAAAAGGAGCAGGGAAGGCCTAAGTCTAATCGGAGTGAATGAATCTGTGCCTTGTACGTGCCGCTCAGAGGCTTTGCTGTCTCTTATCCATATTACTGTCGCAGCTGAGGAGCACATCACAAGGACACCCTGGTGCGGACCCCAAGTGCTTTATCTGTATAGATTGCTGCAGTGTGTTCGTGCGGGATGAATCCAGACTCTGCAGCTGCAGCTTTCACAAAGGCTCTTCGCAAGGGCGACAAAAATTACGTTAGCCGGTGCATAGCAACTGTCAGGAGGTAAAGGCCTGATGAAATTAAGGCAATGTGCACTTCTCGCAGGTTGCAGCAAGTGCTGTGGGGAAGGTGAGAGATAATCGGAGCCTGGTAATAGGCACTAAAACTGCAGATACCTCGCCTTTTCCGGAAATGCATTTCACTTTAATCTACATGTAAATGGTGTAAGAATGTGTTTTGACATCACAGAGACGAGATCTGAGCCAATACAGACAGGGCTGAACTAATAACAGTGTAGGGGACAAGCCAAGAACTAGGCAATCTTGTCAGGATAACAGGAAACCTCAGTGTGGAATCACAGGGTCAGAGTGTGTGTATTTTATTTAGGAATGCTGCGTTTGCTTAACTGGACCTGCTAAACTTGTCGTAACCACTGTAGGGAAGCGTCCTGTCTCGTTATGTACCTGTGTTATTTGTATCTGGCTATTTCTGTCCATGGAGAGTGCATAAATTGCATGATACTTTGCGCCATGATGTTTAGAAGATTCCAAAGGTGATTGAGAAATGCCAAGTGGGCTTTTGGAAAGGGCTCAGTGGCGCAAAATGCTGGGAGAGGCTCAAACTCTCATGGTGAAAGAGGGGGCATAGTGTCCACGTATGAATGTGGTGATGGCTTCAGGGATTTTCTGAGGCTGTGAGTAATCTGCAAGCTGCCATAGTCAGTTAAGAGTCCCCTTGGGCTACTGCTTGGATACTGGTGGATTTTTAGCTTCTAGACAAATAGTTACAAAGGGTCGTGAATAAACTTTCTCTGTTACCAAAGGTCATGGTCCACCATATTCTCTCCTATTTCGTGTCCAAAGGGTGACAGATAGTGGTGGCTGGAGCATCCCAGATTCTTGCATCTTCTATTTGTCCTCTCTGACCTTGCTTTTCTTCGTTGTTATTTTTTAGGTCTGCCCTCCCTATGACTCTTGGCTCCTGCTCCAACCCTCAACCCTACTGTAAATGTAACCCTTTGAGTCTTCTTTGATTATTGTAGTCCATCAGCCTGTTTCTAAGTAAGGATCTGTCACTCCAAAGGATTCAATGTGGAGAGACACCTTGTACAGTGGCACAAGGTATTCAGCCCCAGCCCTCATTCCCTCCGATGCAGCAGGTTGCTCTGAAAACCCCACCGAAGCAAAGCACCCGTTTGGCTCTGAGTGCTTCAGGCACTAATTTTGTTTGATTTTGAAGCTCAGTGTCAGTCTACCTTGGTCCAAGATGCGAAGTGTTTTTTCTTTACAATTCCAGATTTCTGCCTCTCTTGGGTCAGTTTCTCCAGTTCCTTCTAATTAGACTTGTGTTACTCCAGTAAAATCAGTGAGGTTTTGCCATCAGAGTATTCAGCTGATACTGCATGCTGTGCAAAGACAGTCTAAAGCTGAACTATCTGCATGTCATGAGTATGTAAATATTTATTATTTGCTTATGTAACAGGTTCTTTTATCTGGTGACTTTTGACAGCTACAGTTCAATTTTACAGACCGTTTCTGAAGAAAATAGACGATAGCAAGAAGAGAAATCGTACTTTTCCATGTGAACAAGTTGGGTTTAGGGAGTTAATTAATGAAGCAACTACTCAAAGATGTAAAAAGCATTGTATTAATGATTAGAAATGTGAGGAGTCACGTATAACTCAAAACCAAATCCCCCAGAGAGACTTCACATAATGTATGTGATCTGTTGAGCAGTTTAATAAAAAGGAAACTGAAAAGGGCAGCATTTGCTGTGATCCAGGCATCTTGTTAATGCACGCAGGTATTTACAGCCAAGCTGAGAACACTGTATTTAACGCTGAATTGTACCTGAGTGAGAAACAAGACAGAGACTTGGTATCACAGTGATTAAGCACATCAGAGTCGTACAGCAGTCCTCTGTTCCTAAAACATAAGAAAATTTTATCAAACCACTGAAACTTCTTGAGATTAACTTTTCCAGTCAGAAGGTACAAGAATTTCTAAACTGAACATCTAAATTCACTATGCTCCAGGAGTATTATGTGTTAGTAACTACAGAAGTCATTACCCACATACAACCTGGCAGCATTTGGCTTATTTTCTGCCAGCATTATAGATATTGCGTACTGGTGACAGGGAAGTTTCAGTTCCTTCCGTGATAACTTCTTCCCAGGGTCTTAAAAAATGGAGAGCTCTGAAAACTTCACGTTGTAATCAAAGCCTCAGCGACTGAAACTGTGCCGAGTTAGAGAGTAGTGTTATTGATCTTTGGAATTCGCTCCACATCATTTGGCCCAGATGTTAGTTTTTTCACAGCTAAATCTGAAACAGGAATCACCATCCCAGCAAAAGCCACTGATGTAGGTCTTCAGTGTGATAGCTGAACTGCACTCTTTTGTGAAGAGTCCTGCTGCCCTTTGGTATTTTTGGTAGCACTTTCAGTCAAGCTTTATGTAGTAGCTGTTCGGTTTTTCGTTCCGTATTTCTGGATGGCTGTGTACCTCCACGCATACGGGAGATGAAAATATAATGGACTGACATAGGTTTGAAGCTTCTAGGTCAGCAAGTCTCACAGTGGTAATTATCTGGTGACCTCCCTTTTGAATTCCATGTGTTGCCTGATTTAGTCGAGAGGTGGCGTCCCTGGCGACAGGGAGGCTGGATTAAAATGATCTCTAAGGTCCCTTCCAGCCTAGGCCATTCTATGATTCTATAAATCCTTGATGAAGCCTGTCTTTTTAACAACACGCACTTCCACTGTGACCTTTAATTATGGGTATCAAAAAAAGTATTCCATTCTTGGTCTTTCTCTCACTTCTTCTGAACAAATAGGTATTGACTAGTGTGGTCAATATTCCCTGGGAGCTTTTTGTAACTGCTTTTGAACATAAGTCTGAACTGAGATGAACAACGTGGTGGTTCAGGGCAGCCTTTGGTGTCTGGAGATTGAGTTCCTTGGCCTCCCACAGATTTTGTTTGATAACAGTAGGTGACTTGCTTTGGAGGGTGTTCATATTTTATTTTTTTTTTAGCCAAAGTTACCTGAAAGTGAGGTCACTAATCTGAATGAGTCAGGTGGGCTCCGTTTATTTAAGAGGAAAGCAAGGCATCTGCGGAGGGTGAATCATCTTTTGTGACTGTAGGAAGAGCCTTGAGGTAGCTAACTTGTTACCAAGTTGAGGTGACATTAATGCCATGTTAGGCTTTTAAATCACATCACTCATTGATTTTGATGGGAGCATACCTGAGCACCCTTTTATTTCCTTTTTCAGGGCACTGACTCATCCAGACTGAAGCATTCCGTGTTTAGAGTGTTGGGGCTAAGGTTTCTGTATTTTTCTTGCTTTTCCTCTACCATTGAGATTGCCATATTCAGGTTTGGAGATGAAACTCACAAACAACTGAGGTACAGAAGTGTTTCAAACAGAATGCGTTGTTTCTGTAGGTTTTCTTCCTACCTTTTTTTTGTTTGTTTTTTGCAAGTACATTTCCACTAAATATTTTTAGGAGCTACCGTGATGCCTCTGAGTGCCACAAACTAGTAACTGAGGGAATCATATAAAAATAGCATTGAAAGGAACCTCAAAAAGTTGTGTAGGCCATCTCTCTAAGCTTCAAGGTAGAAGTAGCTGTTCTTACCAGGCGAAAAGTTGGGTTTGCATCTTTACTAACCTGAATGCACTTACTCACTGGTGCCCTTTCTGTACTGGCTTAAATGTTTTTCACAATGCACCAGCATTTTTCAAAAGGCACATCTTTTATTAAGCTAGGTGTGTTTTTAGTCTGAAACAGCCGTGCCATATGTTTGGGACTCTGTCTTCCATTGTTAGTAGCCTGGCAGTGTTTCCCAGAGCAAGGCAGTAGACTGTCTGCAGGGAAGAGGGGAGGTCTGAAAAAACTCACTAACAAAAATCTTATTGATACACTTTGTTTGCATCTCAGTGCTCTGTGAACATTAAAAAACTACCACTGAAAAGTCTGGATAAGAGAAGAATTTAATTCAGTTTGGGATCTTTTTTATTCTTTCTTTTCTGGCTTCTGCAAGGGGCTGTCTAGGTTTAACTGTCTGAAGTATATTTTTGCTGTAGAAGACTTGTACATGTTGACTTTTAATGTAACAATATTTGAGACTACCGGACTCACCTTCTGGGGAAATTTTATATAATTGGAGCGTCACATAAAATGTGTTGGTTTTTTGACTCAATTCCGTCAAAGTCTTTGGTATTTCCCTCTTTTATTTCTGAAGTTCCTTCATTTTATATCAGAAATAACACTGAACTTGCTGAGTTGCTGCCCATGAATTGTTTCAAGACTGGATGAAGAGAAACAAAAAGGGAAGTGAGAGAGGATTTATTCCAACTTGACATTAATGTGAGCAAGTGGCACTTTGAGGCACTGCCCTAAATGCTAAGAACCCCAAAACATTCGCAAGAATTACGGAACTGATGTGCTAATTTAAAACCATCCTGAACATAATCAAAAAAAACCAGCAGGAAAGACTAAAGTTTAACAGTGCTGCTGGCTCTGTGTCATGAGAATTACCACAAAAAGCAGCATTTCTACCATTAAATGTGTGTATCATCCATTAACTTTGCCTTAAAAAAAAAAAAAATCCATATCCTTGTATTCTAAGAATTAGGATCCTTTAGGAATGTTAGCTCTCAGGAAACTGAATTTGCTTTCTGTGAACTTTGGCATCTCACGCAGATTTTATGGGAAGCGACCGCAAGCTCGTGGGTTTCTGCTGCCCTTGCCTCACCTCGCTGCTCGCACCGGTGGTACCCGATCAGTTCTGCCTACTTAACTGTCACCCCGTGCTCCTGTGCGCTGTGTGTGGGTGCAGAATAAGGCCATAAAAGCCACAGAACCGTTTTTTGTGAACCCTTTATCTTGTATCTCTTCAAGTACCACGTGAAGACTAAGCATTTCTTGGTGGTGACTCTTGCGAAACCAGGCTAATCCCTGGGTAGTAGATACAAATTGCACAGTGATTGCCCGGTTAGTTGAGGGAGTTAATGGGGTGGAAAATACTGTTTTATTTCTTTATTTCATTTCCAGCCT